ACTTAGTGCCTGGCACTTAGACCCCCATGGCACTAAGTACAGATCGCGTTCACACCGGAATAGTTCCCTGAGGGAAGATTACGCAAATGAAGCCGCTGACGTCACTTCTTCTTCTGCTTTGGGTTTACTGGCAGGCCGCAAACCACTTCACGGGGTATACTGCCACCCGAAGTCCCCGGCCGGAAGTCCCCCGGAGTTGGGGACTGGCTTTAGTAGAAGCTGCTGGGACTCCCTGCAGCTTCTACTAAAGCCTTCCGAGGTAATCGCCAGAACGCCGACACCTCCTCATCGACACCTCCTCATCTCCACCTCTCCCATGTTTTTTTTTGTGTTGCCATAAGTTATTCTCTCTCCGTTGGTGCGCGGGGCTAATGCTAATGCTAATAATGCTCATGCCAGCAAATACAATGGCGGCTTCAAAAAACTTTTCAGAGTTTTACGGGGCGTGGTTTGCAATTCGCCCAGCCAATATAAATTGGTACTTTTTTCTCCCCAGGAGAGTACCACCTCTCAACAGGCACTAAAAATGGGGGTAAAAGTAAAAGTATTCTTTTTGGTGTGAACGCAAAATAAGGGGTACTAACGGAACTAAACGGGAAAAGTACTCCGGTGTGAACGCGCCTTAAATGAGAAAAGAGAGAGGGGTGAAATGTTCCTTAAATAAAACATTTTTAAAAAGGCCTCCGAGTTACATTGATATACATAGAAATCACCCAACTTGAGATTTTACCTTACACATACATTTAAGGGCATGAAACAAATCAAAAGCAACAACAGGAAAATATACCATCACCCTTTAGCCTGTGCTTGTCCAGCGATATGCTACAACAGGACATTACAGGGCGATGTATCTGGGAGATGCATCTGAGGAACGTGTGACAGATGTTACTTTAATATACTTTTTGACAACAAAGGTAGCACAAAGTTGTAGAGTTGCACTTGTTCTCACAGTGTGTTTTTTTTAGTTATGGGCTGTCTGAATGCAGCTTACTTTCCATCAGAGTCTGAGGTACGTGTGAGGCAGCGGATAGAGAGCTTTTTGTTTGTTTTGTGTGTGACTTTATTCACTTTAAGCGCGGTCAGGAAGATGAAGCAGCTGTTGTTGGAAACAGGATCTCGACCAAACGGATTCTGTAACTGTATTTTAGAAAAACACTCCCATACTACAGCCAGGCCGGTACATTCACTTAAGTGTTTATGCTTCATATTTCATTTGGGCTGTACCTGTGAGAGAAACTGGGCTACACGGCTCTGCATCAGCTGAAAAAGCGTCTGAATACTGCTCAAGTGTGTGTGCGGAGAAATGATCTTAAATCTGATCCTTTCATAACAGAGAGTTAGTTAGGCAAATAATCTAAATGAGAAGAGTGAGAGGGCTTATGCACAACAGAGAAGGAGAGATAATTCACCCAAGAGATGTGATGTAGCTATATTCATCATGAGAGAGGGTGCAGGTGGGGCGTGGCTGGATAAAGAGACGACAGAACATCCTTAACCCAGTCCTCCCTGTCCCACCTGACGCTCTCAACAGGACATAAGCAGCATGTTCATGAGCATCTGAGTTACTGTAATCAGCCGTGTCAAACTCAATTTCATCGCGGGCCCACATCAGCATTATGGTTGTACTCAAAGGGGCCGGTTGTAACTTTAAAGACTATATAAAAAAATACATATATAAATATTTAATATATAAACGTGTGTATTATATTACATTATTGCCTCTGCATTGAATTATTATGGGATAGGGTAATAACTTCATAATTAACTACATCTGAAAGCAGAAGTCTAGGGCAGATAATTGGACGTCTCTTCATAGTGCATGTCACAATCTTTTTTTTTTATTAAAAAAGCCAAATTCTGGAAAAAGAAATTATATGTAAAAAAAAAAGTGAAATTTTGAAGCAAAAAAGTCAAATTCGGAACAAAATTCATATTTGAGATGCATTGTGGGACATGTAGTTTATGGGTAACGTGCTTCTGTAAATCGGCATGTAACCGTATAATAAACGTATTGTATTCTTTCAGAGCTCTTGTGGGGCCACATAACATGAAGTCACGGGCCGGATTTGGCCCCCGGGCCTTGAGTTTGACACCCCTGCTGTAAATGAATCAGTTAACCAATGTATAAATGAATCAGTCAGTGGGTTGGCCTAATTAACAAATGAAGGACTCGATTGTAGAACAGAAGTCCGAGTGGTTCTGGTCTCTGTGGATCACCGCGGCCTCCTGCGAGTGACGAAGATGAGAACCCTGCGGATAGCGGTCAGGCGATCTTTGAGAGACGTCATGGCGAGGATGGTGAGCTGAGCTCGGTTCTCCAGAGGGAGAACAGCGAGCAGCCACCAGCTCCAGGCCGGACCACTGGGACTCGCCTGCAGGAGAGAAAGGAGGTACGTTTATCATCTTTAAAGGTCACCTATTATGCAAAATCCACTTGTTCATGTCTCTTCTACATCAACATGTGTCCCCTCTTCTTCATGTCTCTTCTACATCAACATGTGTCCCCTCTTGTTCATGTCTCTTCTACATCAACATGTGTCCCCTCTTCTTCATGTCTCTTCTACATCACATGTGTCCCCTCTTCTTCATGTCTCTTCTACATCAACATGTGTCCCCTCTATCCATGTCTCTTCTACAATCAACATGTGTCCCCTCTTCTTCATGTCTCTTTCTCTAACATCAACATGTGTCCCCTCTTCTTCATGTCTCTTCTACATCAACATGTGTCCCCTCTTTTTCATGTCTCTTCTACATCAACATGTGTCCCCTCTTCTTCATGTCTCTTCTACATCAACATGTGTCCCCTCTTCTTCATGTCTCTTCTACATCAACATGTGGTCCCCTCTCTTCATGTCTCTTCTACATCAACATGTGTCCCCTCTTCTTCATGTCTCTTCTACATCAACACGTGTCCCCTCTTCTTCATGTCTCTTCTACATCACATGTGTCCCCTCTTCTTCATGTCTCTTCTACATCAACATGTGTCCCCTCTTCTTCATGTCTCTTCTACATCAACATGTGTCCCCTCTTCTCCATGTCTCTTCTACATCCAACATGTGTCCCCTCTTTTTCATGTCTCTTCTACATCAACATGTGTCCTCTCTTCTTCATGTCTCTTCTACATCAACATGTGTCCCCTCTTCTTCATGTCTCTTCTACATCAACATGTGTCCCCTCTTCTTCATGTCTCTTCTACATCAACATGTGTCCCCTCTTCTTCATGTTCTTCTCATCAACATGTGTCCCCTCTTCTTCATGTCTCTTCTACATCAACATGTGTCCCCTCTTCTTCATGTCTTCTTCTACATCAACATGTGTCCCCTCTTCTTCATGCTTCTTCTACTATCAACATGTGTCCCTCTTTTTCATGTCTCTTCTACATCAACATGTGTCCCCTCTTCTTCATGTCTCTTCTACATCAACATGTGTCCACTCTTCTTCATGTCTCTTCTACATCAACATGTGTCCCCTCTTCTCCATGTCTCTTCTACATCAACATGTGTCCCCTCTTTTTCATGTCTCTTCTACATCAACATGTGTCCTCTCTTCTTCATGTCTCTTCTACATCAACATGTGTCCCCTCTCTTCATGTCTCTAACATAACAGTGTCCCTCTCTTCATGGTCTCTTTCTACATCAACATGTGTCCCCTCTTCTTCATGTCTCTTGCTACATCAACATGTGTCCCCTCTTCTTCATGTCTCTTCTACATCAACATGTGTCCCCTCTTCTTCATGTCTCTTCTACATCAACATGTGTCCCCTCTTCTTCATGTCTCTTCTACATCAACATGTGTCCCCTCTTCTTCATGTCTCTTCTACATCAACATGTGTCCCCTCTTCTTCATGTCTCTTCTACATCAACATGTGTCCCCCTCTTCTCATGTCTCTTCTACATCAACATGTGTCCCCTCTTTTTCATGTCTCTTCTACATCAACATGGTCCCCTCTTCTTCATGTCTCTTCTACATCAACATGTGTCCCCTCTTCTTCATGTCTCTTCTACATCAACATGTGTCCCCTCTTCTTCATGTCTCTTCTACATCAACACGTGTCCCCTCTGTGGAAAGAGACTCTGAAAGTTTCAGGAACAAAGATTCTCTCTCTTTTTGTCCTGATCCATTTCTATAAAAAACCTGTCTGAAAATGAGCTGATCAGATTTTGGCCACTTTATGATGTCATAACGATGTTTTGGCTTGTGTAACCATTAGCCAATCACCAACCAAGGTAAACCCCCCCCCCCCCTTATCACCTGAATCTCCTCCTAGAGCACCATTGTGTTCTTTTTAACCAAATATCTCTCAGAGGGGCGTGGGGAGGGGCTCCTTATTTTCATCTAAAGTAACAGACAGAGAATCAGCACTTTGGAAACAGGGCTGAAACAGAGGGGATTATGGGTAATGCTGCAATGATCTGTTTGGTGTTTCAGCCAATCAGAGACATGTTTGTATATATCTGAGACCTATAATATATTGATGAAAAACAGTATAACAGGGGACCTTTAACACTTAATAAGAAGACAACAGAAAGGAACACAACAAATAAACCTAATGGAATAACAGATTCATAAAAACATGCATAAAAGAGATACAGAATCGTTTTAAAGCAACATTGTAAATATAGTAGGTGCTAAAATAAGTTAAAAGACTTCTGGGTAAGCAGCTGAGAAAAGTAGTGTTTTTAGCCTCGACTTAAAAGAACTCAGGTTTTCTGGAAGTTGGTTCCATTTGTGGGGAGCATGAAAAGGAGAGGAACGTGGTTGGTGATTGGAGTCTTATTATAATTAATTAGAAGATAGGATAAGAGCTAAAAGGAAAGGATAGATGTTTGCTATAAAAACCATTTGACTAGATATCGGGTGACTGCAATCAGTGTTCATTTCAGCAGTTTCTGGGGGGCTAACAGTAAACCGACCTCCTATATAATCATGTATTGGATGTTGTTTGTGTGTTTGTATCCGTGGAGATTGTGAAATAAGTGGTGAAACAGGTGTTTGCTGACCTGAGGGTCGGGGTCGTTGCTGGGGAGGTCTCCGAAGTGGCTGAGGATCTGGCTCTTCATGTTGTCCTTCAGGGAGGTGAACCAGTTGTTGGCCTGCTCGTACACAGCGTCGTGCATCTTCAGAATCTCCACAAGCTCCTCCCCCTCCACCTGATTGGACAAGAGAGATATATTGTTATGATTGGAAGGTTGTGGGTTCAATCCTAGCTCGTGCAGTCAACATGTCGATGTATCCTTGGGCAAGGTCTTTAAAACCAACTGGAGTGCCTTGCATGGCAGACCCTGCCTCTGTGCGAATGTGTGTGAAGGGGTGATTGATGACTTGTATATGTAAAGCGCTTAGAGCAGGGTGGGGAACTTTTTCCACTCAAGGGCCATTTCAATTTTCTCAACATCCTCCGAGGGCCGTACAAATGATTGACCTCTGCTTAAAAATACTAAAATCACAGCCCATTCATTTGGCCTGTCTTTCATGCTGTGCAAAGAAAAAGCAACCTCTGAATCCAGATATCTTACCATGACTCGCGTATGCATGCACGTGCACGGTTGTGGCATGACCACCAAAACAGAAAGATATGGACACAAGATGTGTGCAAATGTATTTAGTTTCCTATCCATGTGAACATGATTTAAGTGGGGGGGGGACCTCACCTCCTCTAATGTTGAAGTTAAAAGCATCAATCTGGTGCACTTTGAGAGCAACATTAAGAGCTCTATGGATACATCTCTCAACACTCATATGAAACAGAACTGTAAGCAGATTACTTTTTCTTTATGGATATTTTACAAATCACTCCCCTTTCAAACTGTATTCTTGTTTATTAATAACAACTTTTTTTTACTGTCATATAGTATTTTATACCTGTTTACTTTATTCTCTTATTTTTTTATAACTATAATGATGATATAAAGATGTGCTTTTACCTCACTGGTTGTAGAAAAAAGCTTCTTATATTCGTTAGCATAGCTAGCTAACCAGATGCTAATAACAAAGTTATTGACTGTATGATCAGTATGTCAGATGAACAGATCGCCACTGGGCTTACAACTAAAGACACAGCCACGCAAAAACTGCGGCATGTGTACGACTCCTTATCTGAAGTGCCAGAGCCGCATTCTGGTGCTCTCCGTCAGACGAGACGTATACCACATGATGTATATGTGTTAGGCTCGTGTGTTAGGCTCATGTTGTGTTCAAGGACCCTGACCGTGGCCAGGAAAAACAGGCACTCGCTTGTTTAATTCTTTTGCGGTCTAGATTTCTTTAATTTTTTTCTTTTTGTGTGTTTATAAATGACCTCGAGGGCCGTACCAAATGGTCTCGCGGTCCGTATACGGCCCGGAGGCCGGAGGTTCCCCACCCCTGGCTTAGAGGAATCATAAAGCTCTATGTAATTGAAGTCGATTTACCATTTAAACACCATTGACAAAGGTTACATAGTTTCCAAGTATGAAAAATATCCACCCGCCTGAAAAGACACTTATTTGGGTAGCAAATAATTCATTTGAGCAAGTCTACATTTCAATTAGTGCAGACAAGGGGGTTACTCCATAATTCCATATATTTTGAATATATATATATTTGTATATATATATATATATATATATAATATCTGCATGTATATTTTCTATTTCGACATGTATATTTTATATTTTATTTCTATTCTTGTATATTTTGTTTTATTGTAAAATGCCTTTTATGCTGCTGTAACAAAAACAATTTCCCAATTTGGGATCAATAAAGTACGATCTATCTATCTATCTCTATCTACTCTCTCACACAGTGAAGGGAACTCTTACTTGGGCCAACACCCCAATTCTACTCTGTGTGACTATACTTTATGATCTGATTGACAGCATAATGATGGTAAGTAAGTGTTAACCTCCTGTTGAACCCACCTTTTTGTCCTCCAGATACTCTATCTTGGCAGTGTGGTATCCGTCTCTCTGGCCGTGGCTGAGGACTTTAAACCGTGAACGCCGATAGTGTCGACCACGGAGCGACCGTCAGGAAGAACTTCACATCTCGCACCTGAAACAGCTCATTTTGTTTTTAACACGAGTAACTCGATACAGCGGAGTACTATCTTCCTGCAGGGACTCTGCAAACACACACACTCACCTCCAGCATGCGCCGTAGTCGGCGAAGCCTTTGAGCTCGTCGGCGATGCACATGCCGAACTGCTTGGTGCCCGTCTCCATGGAGCGGCGGATCATGAGGCGGTAGCGCGGCTCGAACACGTGCAGCGGGCAGGGGATGGTGGGGAAGGCCATGGTGCACACGAAGACAGGGACTTCCTGGTTTCAGGCTGGCAAGAGACACAGATGGTTGAGACTCTCTGTAAACACTGACAAACATTATTATTCTTGCATAATACTTATTTTTCAACATCCATGTGCAATATTATGTTATTAACATTGCAAATATTACTCTTTATACTATGTTCAATATTTATATATTCATGTATTTGAGCAAATAACAATAACATGACTTATTAACTCTTTCCTGTGACTAGTTTAATCAAATGTATATGGGTGTGTGTGTGTGTGTGTGCGTGCGTGCGTGCGTATGTGTGTGTGTGTGTGTGTGTTTTATCTGATTCGGATGGTTACTAATTCCTTTTCTTTATGGCGGTCATTTTTGACCGGGAACACCATGGGTGTTACAAAGTTGACTAAACCATCCAAAATCCAATGAAAGGGTGATCAGCAATTGTATATGTTCAACTGACTTTGAGAGCTCCTTCCTCTCCTCTTCATGGATTGTCTTCCTGTCAGCCAGCTCGTCTCCTAGGTAACGCTGCAGCACCTCCTCCATCAGCAGGGTCTTGTTGTAGCCCCTAGTGGCCAAATACTGCAACGACAACATATATCATTAAATGTATTGACCTGGGACTACACGTTATCATGGATGAATTACTTTTAAAATAAAATAAATTATACACTGTCACCATAACAATTGAATAAAGGATACATGTATTCAGTACAAATTACACTAAGCCACAACACTATTGATGTGTATCTATTCAATAAAGCGATGAGCTCATTTTGAACAAAGTGCCTTTGCGTATTTGATAATGAGTGTGTACCTCGGAGAGATTCTCCTTGCACAGAGGGCAGTTGGATTTGTGGTCGAGGCAGCGCTCCAGACATTTGAGGCAGAAGGTGTGACCGCAGGGAGTGGCCACCGGCTCGTAGAACAATCTGGAGAACACACAGGAGAAATACATCACTGACTCTAACACTGGATGATAGCTGTGGATATCATGGCTCCAAGTATCAGGGTTAAAGAGTTGTTCCTTTAAGTTATTGAGTAAATGCTTTCATTTGTGTGAATGCTGTGTATGCATGCAGTAAGCGTGTGTGGTGTGTGTGTGTGTGTGTGTGTGTGGTGTGTGTGTGTGTGTGTGTGTGGTGTGAGTGTGTGTGTGTGTGTTGTGTGGTGTTGTTGTTGATGTGT